CCATACAACACCCAGTGCTCATCCTAACAAGTGCTCTCCTCACTGCACACCACCCACTTTCCCCTCTCCCCCACCCCCCATCAACCCTCAGTTTGTTCAACTGATGAATTGATAAAGAAGATGTGGTTTATATATACAATGGAATAGTACTTGGCAATGAGAAAGAATGAAATCTGGCCATTTACAGCAATGTGGATGGAACTGGAAGGTATTATGCTAAGTGAAATAAGTCAGAGAAAGACAGATAACCACATGTTTTCACTCATAGGTGGATCTTGAGAAACTTAACAGAAGACCATGGGGGAGGAGAAGGGGGAAAAAAAGTTACAGACAAGGAGCGAGGCAAATAATATTATATATTCTTACATATTTGCTTTATCAGTTTCTGAGGGGCTTATATTGAAATCTCCTCTTTAGTAGTAAAGATTTGTCAAATTTCTTGCTCTGTCAAAGTGCTTCATCTTTCAGAGTCCCATTTTCTTCATCTGTAAAATGAAATGAGAAATTGTGGGTAAAACAATAGATACTAGGACTGTAGGCACTCAATCAGCCAAAGGTGCTCTTGTTTGGTCATTATTACTACTATACATATTATTCATAAATCCAAGCCCCTCCATCAAGATGGCTTAGTTTTGGAGGGTGAGGCACATCAGTCAGAATAAAACCCAAGCAAGAAATACTACCAAAAAAATCAAGTTGATTAAGTCATATCACCTAGGCAAGACCAGTGCCAATTAGGAGTCATCCTGTTCACCAAGAAAAGCAGTTCCTTCTAGAATGAGCATGTCTTATGAGCGTTCTTCAACGTTTAGGGGTAGAGTGACCAATGATAGAGCAAGACAGGGGCCAGAACTCAGAATCCTTGATTTAGCTAAGTGGGGATCTAGGGTCCTGGAGCCTCATGAAGGTGAGGAACACATAGCTACTGATAAAATACTTAAAGATTCTAAACATTACCAAGGGATATTTTCTTAAAATATATTTCTAGATGTTTTGACACTTTTCCTATGAGAAATGGTATTTCCTGGAATATCTGAGCAAGAAACTGAAAAATTCTCTTTCTCCTACCTGGGTCTAGTTTCAGGAACGAGTCCTAAGAAGAGATGAGATGATGTGGTGACCCTCCACTCCCACATGTACACTTTCTGAAAGAATGGAATGGTAAGACTTTTCAGGGTATTCTTTCTTTCCTCCTTTTCTTCCATTCTCCCTCCTTCCCTCCTTCCCTTTCTCTCTCCCTGACTCCCCTCCTTCCTGCCTGCCTTCTTCCTTTTCTTTTCTGTGTACCTCAGATATGTTATGTGAGAACTCAATCTAAACAAAATATGTTGCTATTCCCTCATTCCAGTGTTCACCTCACAATGCCTTGATGACATAGTGCGTATCACAAATCTAAGATTTCAGAAAAGGGAAATGATCACCCCATTGCAGACTGGTAAAATAGTTAAACACACGAGCTCTGGATTTAGTCGTCAGTTTGAAATTCTTACTGTATCCCATAATGGCTGTGTCTGTGTGACTGAGCACATCACCACCTCCTTTTTCTCATGTGTAAAATCAAGATAAAATTAGGTTGTTGAGCCCACAGAATGTACAACACCGAGAGTGAACTTTCATGTAAACCATGGCTTTTGGATTATGATGTGTCAATGCAGGTTCAACAACTGTAACAAATGTACCACTCTGCTGTGGGATGTCGGTAATGGTTGGGGGTGCAGCTATGTGTATGTAGGGGCAGAAAGAATATGGGAACTCTCTGTACCTTCCCCTCAGTTTTGCTGTGAGCCTAAAACTGCTCTAAAAACAAAGTTTCAATTAAAAAAAAAATTTTAAATCAGGTTGCTGTGATGATTAGATGAGATAATCTGAGGATCTGTCATACTGTCTGGCATTTAGTAGGCCCACAATAAGTGCTAACCCCCTATTTCTTTCTTAAAATCATAGCTAGTTATCTCTGCCCTGGTTTGAACTCCACACAAACCCTCTTCAATTCTGCATCAACTATGTACTACAGGCACATGTTTGTTCACTTAATGTGCACTTATTCTACATGGAAAACTTTTACTGGAAAAGACAAATATAGATGTGACCCATTTCTTGAAAGAACTTTAATTTGTTAGGAATACAACACACATACACATACACGTACATCAAATCAATAGAAAGCAATGGATTTGCAAATGCTGAGTTATAATGCTTGGGGCAGAGGCATAAGAAAAGGTCAGACTGGAGGTAAATATTGGAGAGGAGGTAGAATATTGAAAAAGGAAAGGGGATGGATTATTAACACACCTCTGGACTTTTCGGAGGGTTCAAAACTAGACATAAATGCCCATGACAAAGCTCAAAGATGCAGTATACACAAATTCATTATTCTTCCCATAAAAAAACATTTATTAAATGCCAACTTAATCCCAGGCACCAGGTTACATAGCTCTGAGACACCTTGGTTTTCCTCTCCAAGGCATACAATCTAGTAGATGAGTCAAGATATTGTTATAAGAAAAGTGGACTAGAATAAGGCAGTATAGGAGTATAGGATGCTTGCATGCTACAATCACCGGTCCTTAAATTCCAAGGAAGGAGTAAATATTTTTGATTAGAGATAAGAGGAGGAGTTTTCACTGATGAAAAGCAAGGGCTTTGTAAATGAGGAAAGTTGTAAGTGCAAAGGGGAGGATATCACATGCAGGGAAGGGAAAAGAGGCTTTAAAAGATAAGGTTTGAGAGGTAAGATTCTGATTGTGTAAGCCTTGTAAGTTAAGGGACTTGGGCTTTTTTCCCAGGACAATTAAGATCCACTGAAAAGTTTAAAGTAGAACAGTGATGTGGTCAGATTTCTGCTTAGAATAATCATAAGGCAGCAGTGTAGAGAACAAATCAGTCAGGGTCGAGCCTGGAAGCAGTGAGACCAGTTAGGAAGCTACTGCAATGGTCCAGGCAAATGATAAAATAGAGAAAAGTCTGCTCTAGGACAGAGGAATTTCCAGCAAGGGGTCAACATGCAAAAATCCTCCTTTATGTCTGGCTGCCTTTAGACTTGAAGTGACTTCACTAAGTCATACTTGTTTAGATCTTGCCCAAACCTACTTTGAACACAAATTTTGAGTGAGGAAGTAATCCCTTGGTGGCCCCTTGTGACCAAGGGCTCAAATTTGTTGGTTGGCTAGCCAATTTAAGGAGTGTGAAATTTAGACAGAGGAAAGAGTAAAGTTTTATAGGGGTCTTGGCCTCCATAAAATATGACCCTTATCACAACTCTAAGCAACCACATGCTCAAAGCCATCGTGGTTCAAATTAGGGAAATTGAAGCTCTGTTTGGAACTTCCCAACCTATAGTGGTAATGGATTGTTTGGGTATTAGTAAGACCTTCAAAGAAGGTATATAAATCCTATCCAGCCATCTGGCCACTTAATGCCATTAAGTAAATGGGCATTTACTTAATATATTTTGTGTTTACCCAACTATCTCCCCTTTTCCTCAATCTTTTGCTTCTAAATTTGCCTGTACTGCCAAATTGGCCCTCCATGCATCTAGATTCTTCTGTCTTAGTCTTTGATTCCCAGTTCCCCTCACTCCCTTCTTCTATCTTAGTCTTTGATTCTCAGTTCCCCTCACTCCCTTCATTCCTCAGCCATTCTTACCACTCCCCACTCTTTATAGACTTTATTCAAACTACCCGCCTCTTCGTAGAGGTTCTCTTACGAACCCAATCCATCCTGCTTCCATTGACTTGAGTCCTAGACTGACAGCTTATATTTCTTGGTAGTTGTTGATAGGCATCCTAGCAACCCAGGAGGTGATATAGCAAAGTGGAAATAACATAAGCTCTTTGGACAAGCAAGCCTGATTCAAATCCTATATTAACCATTCATGAACTGTGTGACCTGGAGTGGGTTACTTAATCATTTTTTAAAAATTTTTAACGTTTTTTCATTTTTTGAGAGACAGAGAGTGTGAATGTGAGTGGGGGAAGAGACAGAGGGAGATACAGAATCCAAAGCAGGCTCCAGGCACTGAACTGACAGCACAGAGCCCAATGCAGGGCTTGAACCCATGGACTGTGAGATCATGACCTGAGCCAAAGTCGGATGCTTAACCAACTGAGCCACCCAGGTGCCCCTAATCATTTTTAATTATAGTATTCTCATCCATAAAATGGGAGCAACAATTGTACCTACATTCAGAGTTCTTGGGAGGATTATAAAATAACTGATTTAGCATTTAACACATAGAAAAAAATCAACAAATGTCTATTTAAATAAAGAGTCATAGTTCAGTTCCTTTTTGGATGGGATCTCCTGTCTTCCTTAAATGAGTTGGAATCTGCCCAAAGATAAATGGCCATAGCTTTCTTCCTTGTGATTCCTCTACACCCCTGCATCTGGTATAGGGCTCTGTATGCAATAGGCATTCAATTAATTCAGTGACCTGATTAGACATGATCAAAAGCCCCAGGTAGAGAATTGGCTACGGGAAAGGAAATAGGTCTTAGGGGGCTGAATCTAGTATAAGTTTGGGGGACCAGATTTACCAGAAAGGGAAAAAATTTAGAAACCTTAGACTTAGGATAAAGAGAGAGTGTGACACTTTGTCTTATAGTGAAACAGTGTAATTGTAATAGAAATGAAGTTTCAGACAGTCCTGAATTGAAATCCAAGTTCCACTGCATATAAGCTATGCGATGACCTTGGGCAAATAACCAAAGCTTTCAGGGTCTCAGATTCCTCATCTGTAAAAATGAAAATAATACTTTACTTCCAGAGTTATGAAGAATATTCAAGGAATAAGCTATTTAAAATTCCTAGAATAATGCCTGAGACATGGTGAGTAGCCAAATATAGTCACCTCCCTGTCCTTCCCTTTATTACCCTTTCTTTACTGCATTTGACATAATGGAAATCTGGACATGTGGAGGGAGAAGAATTGTGAGGCCTTCTTAAGAACATTCCTAAGTGTTTCCTTCACATCTTTGTTCCTCAGACTGTAGATCATGGGGTTAAGTAAGCATGGGAATGACCACTGTGTAGGATACAGACACTAGCCTGTCCCTGCCTAGCAAGTACTCAGAGGATGGGCGCAAGTAAATGAATGCTGTGGGTCCATAGTATAGGCTGACAGAAGTCAGGTGAGGAGCACAAGTGGAGAATGTTTTATGTTTACCCTTGGCTGAGGGAATTCTGATGATAACCAAGAAGGCATATGCGTAGGAGACCAGGACGATTGTCAGGGACACAGACACATTAAAGCCACCACAGGCAAAGAGGAGAAGCTGGAGTATCTGTGTGTCAGAGCAGGAGAGTTTTAAAAGGGGAGGAATATCACAGAAATAATGCGTGATGACATGGGATTTACAGAAGGTCAGATAAAAGATTGTGCTAGTGAGGAGCACCATGTTCATCAGGCCCACTGCATAGCTGGCAGCCACAAGCTGTAAACAGAGCCTTGGGGACATGATGATATGGTAGAGCAGAGGGCTGCAGATGGCCACATGGCGGTCATAGGCCATGGAAGCCAGGAGGAAGAACTCAGTGACAGCAAAGAACACAAAACAGCTTGTCTGTACCCCACAACCAGAGGAGGAGATTGTTTGGCAACCAGAGAAAAAACCCATCAACATTTTTGGAACTGTGACTGAAGAATAACAGAAGTCAATAAAGGACAAATTGCTGAGGAAGAAATACATGGGAGTGTAGAGGGCTGACCACAATGAGGGCAAGGAGGCCCAGGTTTCCCACAACTGTGATTGCATAAATCAGGAGGAAGAGGGCAAAGAAGATAGGCTGAAGGTGAGGATCGTCAGTGAGGCCCACAGTGAAGAATTCACTCAACTTGCTGGTGTTGCCTGCACCCGTTGGGCCATTATAGGTCTGTGAAAGGAACATGCATGACAATAGTGAGAGGTGTGCCGGTCAAGTCCTAAAACAGAGACCAGCAGGGTCTGGCCCTGGCTACCTAGGACATAATATACTGTGTATATAGGCTATGGTTTCATCTTGGTTTATGCATCTCTTGCCATCCCCTAGCCTATTGGATACCAGGTTTAAAGGCATAAGGATGGAATCTGGAGCCAGAATAATGGGTCTGAATCTCAACCTTGCCATTTATTGTCTCTGTAACCTTGGACTAGTGTCTTAACTGGAATCTTCTCTGTAAACAGGGATAAAACACCAATCTTGTAAGATAGATTGTAAAACCTAAGGGTGATGATGTGTATGTGTACAATGTCTAGCAAGAGCAAATACTTAATGAAGTCTAATTTCCTTCCTCCTTCTGTGCTCTTATTTTGAACACCCAACCTGTCCTCAGACAAAGCTTAACCTGAGTATAAAGTCCAGGACAGAAATCTTAGACAAGGGAGCAACTCTAGAAACTTATTAGTTCTTTCATTATCAGCTGTGTGTTTGAGAAACAGCAGGGAATGAGTGGAGGAGGAATATCAAACAATATAATATAGAGGTAAAAGGACAAGCTCCAGGGTCAATTATATGTTGGGTTAGAATCCAATTCTATGATGCGCTAGCTGTGTGACCTTGGGCTTATTCTATATGAGATTCAATTTCCTTATCTTTAAGATGAGAGTACCAAATATTTACTTCATTAATTGACTGAAAATTAAAGATAATTCATGCAAAGCACCTAGCATACACTAAGCATGTGGGAAATATCAGGAACTTCTGGTAGGTCTCTTGAAACCACATGCAAGCCTCTTAGATTGTCCCACTTGCCCCCTGCTAAGTATCCCTTCCTAATTGAGCTCCTGTTACCAATCATTGTGTTGTAATTCTCCAGTGTGTTGTGGCAGTGAGATCTACCACGTTCATCTAATACTTATTTAAAGATGGAGAAACCCAGAAGTCAGGGCCTCAAAAGAGAAGGCAAACTGCCCATAGTTTCCCAGAGATTTGGTTTAAGTGCCAGAACTGGACCCAGGTGTCCTGTCCACAGTATTCCTCCCAATTGGAGGAGATAACAGCCTCTGACATCTCCTTTTTCATAAACATGGAACCCATGTCCTTATCAGAACATAGGGGGCTGCTTCACCCACAGCTCTTTGAAAAATTACGAGGTTGAATTCTTAGGGCCATTTCTATCTTTTCTCTTAATCAGGGAGATGGCCAATGTCTAACTGTATTTTATTTTAATACTGTTTTTCCTGTTAAGAGCTGGGATAGTGAAGAACAATATATAGCATTGCACAAAGGATTTACATTATTGGATTTAGTGTCAGAACACCTGGGTTTGAAATCAGATTCCATATTATTTTAGGTCTATAGTCTTCAGGAAGTCCTTTCTGAGTCATAAGATCTTCATTTGTAAAATGGGAATAACACTTGCTTTTCTGATCTCACAGGACTGCTGTAAATATCCAATGAGAGTCTGTAGGAAGATACTTGTAAGGTGTTAAGTATGGTCATGGTCAATACTCAGAAAGCATGCACTGGGAAAGCCAAATAAACTTTTACAAACTTCTACGATAATTGTTAAATTGTTCCTCTGGAGCCTGCTCCTCTCTAAAAACTGCTCTGGCACCTGCCAGTCCTCCTTGGTTTCTATAACACTGGCCTCCATCTTCTTGTGGCCTCCAAGTCAGACCCTGAAAGAGATAACTAGATTAGCCTCTGACAACCTGTAAGTAAATGTCTGATGCCCTTCTGCCACTCTCAGGCTGTGGCTGCCTGCTTGTGGCTGGTGTTTCATTAGAGTTACCTTTATGGCCATCTTGGGAACTGAAGTTTCCACAGTAAATAATACTGGTTGTTAAATTTTTAAATATTATACTGACTGTATTAATAGCTACCAATAAAGTACCTAATAAGTGCCACACTGTGCTGGGTAATTAATATAAGTTATTTTACTTAATCTTCTTAACAGCCCTAGGAAATAACCACTATTATCATTCCCATCTTACAAACCAGGCAACTGTGGCTTGAGTACTGAAATGCTTTGCTGAAGATCTCATAGCTGGTTAAATGGCAGAATCTACATTTAAATATAGAATACATTTAAATATTCTAATGCTACTGTCATATCCATGCTGTCTTTTCCAAATGTAGAGTCATATAATTAAATATTACTAAAGTTTTCTCAAGGGATTTACAAACCTATTCTTTGTTATCATGCTAATCTTAGAAACAATTAAAATGATTTCTTTTAATTTTACAGATGGTGAATCTAAGCTACAAAAAAGTTAGGTACGTTGTTCTTGGGCATTTATTCATTCAAAGAATATCATTGGGTGCTTGGTGTGTTCCAGGCAACATGATAGGCACTAGAGGTATTCTCATGGATTTCACAATCTGAAGGAAGAGATGAACAGCAAACAAACAAACACATTAATTAAAAGTTTAAGTAAAAGTATAAAGAAAACAAAACAAGCTAATGAAATAGAGCTCAGGGTTTGGAGGGGCAGCGTTAGGTAGAGTGGAAGGGAAAGCCTCTCTAAGGAGTTGACATTAAAACCAGGAGTCCAGGGGCGCCTGGGTGGCGCAGTCGGTTAAGCGTCCAATTTCAGCCAGGTCACGATCTCGCGGTCCGTGAGTTCGAGCCCCGCGTCAGGCTCTGGGCTGATGGCTCGGAGCCTGGAGCCTGTTTCTGATTCTGTGTCTCCCTCTCTCTCTGCCCCTCCCCCGTTCATGCTCTGTCTCTCTCTGTCCCAAAAATAAATAAAACGTTGAAAAAAAAATTTTTTAAACCAGGAGTCTGAATGGAGAGGAGCTTGCATACAAAGATTCAGAGTACACACAGACACTTAGTGATATTCTCAAGAATAGAACTCAGCTCCCCTAAATTCTACCTAGGGTTGCTGTCTCCAATTGGAAGTAAGGCCCAAGTAGAAGCTGACTGGATATGACCGGATATGTGGGACTTTCAAACTTTTGTCTACAAGCATCTCTTTTATCACCCCCCTTTCTTCTTTAAATGTTCCTAGAGGTCACAAGTTTTCTCCAGTTATTTTTCTGTTTCTGTATTCATCCCAAATGCTTCAGGCCAGCATTAGTTGTTGGGCTCTTTCCAGATGTTCCCTTAACAGGCACAGAAAAGCTCATGTGCCCACAACAGTAAAGCCTCTGGAACTAAGCTCTAGGTAACACTCCCTTCCCCAACTGCCCCTCTAAGCTTGGCAATTTCTGTGTAATTGGCAGAGTAGTTCATATAGGAAAGTTTCTGCCTTCTTGACTGGTCTCCTGAGATGCGGAGAAAAGTAAGCCCAGGGGCCAAGCAGTTGTGACATCCAAAATGGTCATTCCCAATGGGGTATTTTCACTGACTCATACTGAGAGTTTGGGGACCTGCAGTCACCACTGAGATATTTTGGGAACAATTGGACGAATCAAATTGACTATGAGATACATTGTGTTATAAACTTTTTATGTAAAATACATTCTTAGTCATATTAAAAAGTCTTGGTCACAATTAAAATAGCAATTGTTTCCCCAAACATTGGGATTCTAGGAATTATGGATAAATGGCCAATACAGAAGATGTTTGTAGGGATGTATTTCTCATTTTATTATCTGTCATATCATCTTGTTTACTCAACCCTTTACCCTAATTATAAACTATGAATCACTTTTAAACATCAAAGAATTATTTAATCAGTTTTTATGTGGTCAATAAAGTCTCTGATTGCCATTCAGCATTCTAATAAAATAGTCTTGTACCTGAGATGTATGTGGTGGCCAGCTGCCTTGAACTATACTTTTTCATTTTTTATTAAACCAGGTTTGAGTTGTGAAAGACTTGTTTCTATGCACTTGTTTTAATTTTCCATTCAATAAATGTTTAACAAACATTTATCATGTGCCTGTCATTGTGTGAAGAGCTAGAAATACAAAATCAATAGCAAATTGATAATATCCTTAGATAAACTCCATTCCCACTCCCTAATACATGCACACATGTGAGTGTGCTCACACAAATACACACACAGTTTCTCATTTGGAAAGCACAAACAGCCTCAGTCTCCTTTGGTGCTGGCTCATTAGCAGCTTTTATAGAAAATACTAAGTTATTATGCATTTTAAGGGCTACAGCTATTGATTTTAAAGCAAGGAAATTGTTTAAAAAGTAGACTTTATAGACATGTATTTTGTGGGCAGATTCACTTAATTCTATTGCTTAGCTATGCAGAATTTCATAGTCACTTTAAATAGAGAAATTATTCTCTTTTTTTTTCAAGTTAAATTGTGGTACATTAGGTGGTATTTCAACCAGTTTATGAGCTTCAGCTATGACATGACGGGCTGACTCTACATATTAAAGAACACTGTCCCCAAATTTAATTATCTTGGGGCATCAGCACCACCCAGGATAAAATGAACCATTTTGTTCATCACGACTGCAGCCTTTACCAAAATGGAGGTTATGGGATAACAACTTAAAGGCTAACTCGTTAATGCTCAGGGATGGATGAGGTAATGTGCCAGCAGACCAAATTGGTGCCCAAATGTTTTCTCCTAGAGACCTGTATCTCTTTCCCATGTTGTGCTATATTAATGAGGATGTCTTTATCCATTGTCACTGCCTGTAGACATTTGAATAATGTAGATGTAATACCTGATGGGCATTCAGCCTTGTGCACAATCAATTTCTCAAACTCCAAGGATCTCTCAGTGA